GTTTTAATAAATGGTCACGATAACTGAAATTGATTACTCTGCACACAATTATAATAAACACAAATAGGTTTTTACACGGAGATTACCTAAATTACGCTTTCTTCATTATGCTCTAATAAGTTACAGCAACGTTTGCAAATGCAGACATGCAATTTCGGAGACATGTGAAGACATGCTCATTGAATGCAGCCATAACTTGGTGATTTCTCACTGAAAACGCGAACAACCGTAGGCACTGCCGTGCCAAGAAAAAAACCGTGAGTTGCAGGAATACTGATGAATGAAGTTTGAGCGATATCTCCATTTCATACCATTGCCCTTGTTGATTATCTAGAAGACATGGGCCGGCATACGTTTGTCGCTTTTCTCTCCTTGCACAGCACATTCTTTGCGCAGGTACCGACGAAAGTACTCGGCGTTAAACGTAATCCGAATAGTTACGCTGCTCTTTGGACACTTCACTCAAGACGTTCATCAACAATAAAACACACCTCACAATTTTTCACATAGCAGAAAACGCATGCCAGTGCAGAACAATAAAACACGTGAGGGGGTGTGTCTTCGCAGAAGAATTTCACAAGTACGCCTTTCCATGCAGCGGTCCTCACTCAGTAATAATAGCGTGGCCAGAGGGCGCCAGAAAAACGTTTGTCGCACTAATAAAAAGCTTTCATATATTTTTGTTCGGTACATATACATAATGATGTTACGGGAAAGAAATGTCATTTGAAAAACATAGTGATTCTTTCAATTTTGAATCAAACTTTGTTTTTCACTATAAGTGTTTCTCCCTCCACACATAGTCACGCCAGAAACGCAGCTCCCCTAACTCCCCATGTCCATGTTGCTGGCAATATCTTCTGAATTGAACTTTGACCAAACTTTCACGACCTATTTGAATAGACCTTCGATGAGCAAACTATGACGCATCACGACGACATTGGCGCCGAGCTTTACACCGAGCTTTACGCCGAGCTTTACGCCGAGCTTTACGCCGAGCGCGCTCATCACGCCATCTCCGTGGTAATGCTGAAAGCACGCTGTTTTATTCAAGATAGGCGCCGCCCGTGCTAAGTGGTAGATATAACTAGCTCGCCGTTTCGACGCCGAAGCAGGTACTCTTTCGTGGCTCAGTGGCGAATGCCACGCACTCAGGAGTAGAACGTCGGACGTTCGATTCCGTGCGCCAGAGTCTTCTTCTGGATCAGTTTATAGCTGTATATATATATATATATATATATATATATATATATATATATATATATATATATATATATATATATATATATATATATATATATATATATATATATATATATTTATTTATTTATTTATTTACTTATTTATTTTATTATTTATTTATTTATAAGGGAAAGAAGTGTGTACCTAAGGGCTCGTTTTTCCGTGTTTTGACACAAAATAATGAGATCTAACAGACAGTAATGCCAAGGAATATACAGGGGAAGTTATTAGCAGGGTATATATATATATATATATATTTATATATATATATATATATATATATATATATATATTTATATATATATATATATATATATATATATATATATATATATATATATATATATATATATATATATATATATGAGCATCGAACGCGTTATTAAAAGGTCGTAGGTTCGATTCCTGCTCACGGCGTGTTATTTTTTTCACCCACTTTTCTTCTTATTTACAATCCAATGGTTCTAATAACTTCTCCTGTACATTCCTCGGCATTACTGTCTCTTAGATCTCATTAATATTGTGTCAAAACACGGAAAAATGAGCCCTTAGGTATACACGTCTTTCCCTTATATATATATATATATATATATATATATATATATATATATATATATATATATATATATATATATATATATATATATATATATATATATATATATATATATATTGGCCTAATTGCATTAATAAGCATGCGATAAGTTATCTCAAGAACCAAAATCATTCAGTCGAGGTCGTGGATCTTGACCCAAGCATATTCGCCCCCCTGTTATGCCATATTATGACTAGGCATAACACTCCAGATATTTAGCTACAACATGCTTTGAGGTTGACAACATAGGAGCGCCACGTGTCGTCTGTGCAAAGCTTGGCGGGCAGGCATCACAAAAAATTCTTGTATACCAAGGAGCTAGTTGCATGCCATAGCCGTGATTAGTGTAGTTTACCAAGTTGGTGGGTGTATCGTGTTAGCTGCCTGCGCATGCGCCTTTTTGTATCTGCCTTTGCTTATCACTCTTCTGTACCGCTTGGCTGCGATAATGCAGCTGCCCCACGATATATGTACCGGCACGCTGCCACAAATAAAAGTTTTTCTTCATTGTTGCTTCAAGGCTGCGTGTTTACTGCTGGACACCGGGACATGGTGTCAGAAGTGGAATCGCGTTCGCCAAAGCAGTGACAACAGGCAGAGGGGCGTCACCGTGCACCTTCATGATGGAACTACTGAAGCCACCGCAGCCATTGGTACTCTCGGGAAGTACAGCAAAGAACTGGAGCCTTTTCAAGCAGAGGTTCGAGCTGTTCCTGCAGGCCACGGAGCCATCGAAATAACCGAGGTCGGAGGTAGCCAAGACAGCACTCCTGCTCAGCGTTGCCGGAGAGGACGCCCTAGAGGTATTCAACAACTTTGCCTTCTTTGAGAACGAAAGCAAGGAAGATTACGCAACTGTTACGAGCAAGTTTGAGGCGTACTGTCAACAGCAGCAGAACGAAGTATACGAGCGTTATGTTTTCCGCTCAAGAACGCAAGCAGAGGGGGAGCCCTGAGCATTTCGCCCGGGACTTAAGGCGGCTTGCACTAAGCTGCAATTTCGGCACCTTGAGTGACTCCATGGTCAGGGACCAGATTGTTTTTGGAACAGTTAATCCGAAATTGCGCGAGAAAATGCTCAAAGTTAAAGATCTCACGCTACAAAAAGCGGAAGACATTTGTAAGGCCGACGAAGTATGCGCTGAGCAAAATAATGCCTGGGCTGGTACAGAGAAGGAAGTAGGGCCGATCAAGATGCACCGGCAGGCCAAATGTGCAGCCTGTGAACAATATTCCGAATGCTCCGAGGAATGTAGGGTGGAACCCGAGAAAGCAATTGCACATGTTAAGGCACGCAGACAATTCAGGTGTTCCCGGTGCCATCGTTCCCACGAGCGTGGAAAATGCCCAGCCTTTGGCAAAACTTGTTTTCTGTGCCGGGGCGCTAACCACTTTGCTTCCTGCTGCAAGAAAGCGCCTCAAGTCAGTGAAGCACGCGACGAGCAAGATGACTTTGACATCCTCGATGTCAACGTTGGCAGCAAAGCTGATTGGCTGATCAATGCAACAGTGGCTTCCAAACAAGTGTCTCTTGAGGTTGACACAGGCTCACAAGCCAACTTGTTGCCTCAGTCTGTGTTCCAAAGCCTAAAATTGAAGTCCAGGTTACGGGAAAGCTCCTCTGTTCTGCGCTCATACAGTGGCGACGCTATCAAGCATATCGGTGTTACTACGCTACAAGTTGTCGCGAACAGCCACACCGGTTACTTCGACTTCTTCATTGTTAAGAAGAGCACCCAGGCCATCCTGGGGCTGTCGGCGAGTGAAGCTTTAGGACTGGTCTCTCGTACTGTCGACGTAGTGAATACAAGCAGCACCATCCAAGCGATGACAGAATTTCCCGAGTTGTTTCAGGGCATCGGCTGTCTAAAACGCCAGTACCACATGGTTCTGCGGGGGGATGCAACCCCGGTGGTCCAACCGGTACGACAGGTGCCCCGGGCGCTGCTCCTGCCCTTGCGAGAGGAACTGGACCGCATGGCGCATGAAAACATCGTGGTCAAAGTCAGCGAACCGACGGATTGGCTGAGCCCCTTTGTCGCCGCGAGAAAAAAGGATGGTAAACTGCGTGTCTGCATTGACCCCAGGCGCATCAATGAGTGCTTAAAAAGAGAGCACTATCAAATGCCAAAAAGAGAGGACATTGAGGCTGAGCTGGCCGGTGCCAAGTTTTTCTCTCGCCTCGACGCGCAATCTGGATTTCATCAAATTCCTCTAGATAAGGCTACTTCGAAGGTGTGCACAATTGGCACGCCGTTTGGGCGCTACCGTTTCCTAAGGCTGCCTTTGGTATAGCTTCGGCACCTGAGGTTTTTCAAAAAACCATGAATGAAATATTCTACCAGGTCCCAAAAGTGCGAATATATATCGACGATGTATTGATATGGGGTAGCACGAGGGAAGAGCACGACGCCCGCCTCCACACGCTTGCAGTTGGCCAAGAGCACCGGCCTAACGCTCAATGCTGCTAAGTGCAAATTCGGGGTCGCCGAAATCGACTTCTTGGGCGACGTGATAAGCCAAGACGGGATCAGACTTAACCCCGCAATGACAAAACCATTAAGCGAGATGCCGCCACCAGTTGACAAAGCCGGCGTCCACAGATTGCTAGGGGTGGTCAACTATTTTGGTAAATACATACCGCATCTGGCGCAAAGAACGACGCTCCTGCGAAGCCTCCTTAAGAAAGACACCACCTTCGAATGATCTGAGAACCATGCCCGCGAATGGAAATCTGTTTGCGCTTTACTGAGCACTGCACCGTTGCTAGCCATTTTCGATCAAAGTCGTCGCAGATGCTTCGAAAAACGGCATCGGTGCCGCTCTCCTTCAGCGTTATGACAATTGGCGGCCGGTAGCCTACGCGTCCCGCACAATGACCGAGACTGAGCAACGATACGCACAAATCGAAAAAGAGGCAATGGCAATCACTTTTGGGAGCGAGAAGTTTTTTCACTTCGCATACGGCCGCAAATTCGTCATTGAGACGGACCACAGACCGCTGATAGCAATTGCTTCGAAGGCCCTTGGTAACATGCCACCACGACTTCAGCGGTTTTTTCTGCGTTTGCTCAGATTCGATTTTGTTCTCCCCTTTGTCCCAGGTAAACAAATGTTCCTGGCTGATATGTTATCTAGATTGCCGCCAGTGGCACCGGGCACTATGGATGACTTCACAGAGGATGTTGACGTTCATGCAGTGAGCATGTCTTCAGACCTGGTAAGCAAGAAAATGTTTGCTCGTCTAGCTGAAGCAACAGCTGCTGACCCAGATTTACGAACTGTGCTGCGCTGCTTGAGAAACGGCGAAGAACTACAAGGCTGCTTGAAACCATTCAGCTCAGAGTTGACCGAAGTTCAAGGGATTGTCCTGAAAGGAACAAAGGTCATCATTCCTAAGGCTATGAGAGCTAAAATACTGGGTCGCATTCATGAAGGTCATTTAGGCATAAATAAGTGCAAAGCAAGGGCCCGTCGACTGGTATTCTGGCCCGGCCTGAATGGAGGCATCGAAAATCTAGTGAAAAACTGCGCTGTTTGCCAAAAATACGCGTACAGGCAACAAAGTGAACCGGTAGTGCTCAGGCCAACCCCAGAGCATGCCTGGTACAGAATTGGCGTTGACATCTTTATGTACGCCGGGAGCTCCTACCTGTGGGTGTTTGATGCGTTTTCGAACTTTCCTGAAGTCGAAAAGCTGCCGGACACAACGACGGGCACGGTCATAAACAAACTTAGCTCAATCTTTTCTAGATATGGAATTCCCTTAGAAGTCTGCACTGATAACGGCCCCCAGTTCGCATCCCATGAATTCTCTTTGTTTGCCTCCAGATATGACTTCACGCACGTGACTTCCAGTCCAAGATTCCGGCGGTCAAACGGGCTCACAGAAAAAGGAGTTCAAATTGTTAAAAGGATCATGAAGACTGGTGAAAGGAAGGAGGACTTCTGGCTTGGTCTACTCAGCTATCGCTCGACGCCACTGGACGAAGGCCGATCTCCAGAAGAATTGCTGCAGGGCAGGAAATTGCGCAATCGGCTGCCCGAAATCAGACCGTGCTCTGGACGCCAGGACTTCAGGCGTCAGTCGCGCCAACCGAAGTCGTCGAAAGGAAAAACCCTGCCAGAACTCAACAAAGATGCAGTCGTAAGAGTTCGTGGGGATACATGGGATCGCAAGGCTCGTGTTTTGGATAAGGTGGTGCCAAGGTCTTATCGCGTCTTCACAGAAGACAGTCGGGTGCTTCGACGGAATCGGCAACACCTTCTCGCCACACGTGAATCTTTCCAGAGGGATGAAGCGGAGGACTCATCCACCGACGAAGCCATGTTCCAGGAAAATTCATGGTTGCCGTCAGTGGTACAACCTGCGTCAACAGGAAGTTCGCCGGTGTCGACGACGTCAACCCCAACGCTAGAACACCAACCAAGGAAGTCCACCCGGCAAAGGCGAAAACCCAGCCGCCTTGGTTACGACGAGAACTTCAACCAAGTCACGTGTATCTTGATGTCAAAGCTCTAGCTGTCATACGGAGGGAGATGTATCGTGTTAGCTGCCTGCGCATGCGCCTTTTTGTATCTGCCTTTGCTTATCACTGTTCTGTACCGCTTGGCTGCGATAATGCAGCTACCCCACGATATATATACCAACACGCTGCCACAAATAAAAGTTTTTCTTCGTTGTTGCTTCAAGGCTGCGTGTTTACTGCTGGACACCGGAACAGTGGGATAGAGAAGTGAGGATGCGGAGCAGTGATATAAGGGTAAGGTGGAAAAAAAGGGGGAAGGGAGCGTTTGAAGCATGACATATTCTTTCACGGTATAGTTCATCAAGTGTTGGAAAAAAGAGCCAGAGTGAGGAGGTGTGATATCAGCACCAGAAGGAGGGAAAGTAAGAGAGTTCTGTATAAAGAAACGAAGACGAATGACGAGTGATAAAATGAAGGAAAAGGGTGAAGAACCATGACAAAAAAATAAAATTCAGTCCGTGTCCACCAGATGGGGTCATTTACTGCCAGCTCTTCTGTTTACATTGATTTCATAGGAACCGAAATAGTATTTAATGTGTATTTAGATAATTTAAACAGCGCAAGAGGGCATTTTTGTTTCCTTTGTATGTAGTGTTAATGCTCTCCACATACCATAGCCAGTAGTATGTGGTATTTTAAAGTTTTTGTTGCTGAGCATCAGCAGGACAGCCCGCCACAATTTCCATTATCCCGATGAGTCAACACAATTCCACTAAGTTTGCGAACTCTATAGTGTACGTCCTGCTTGCAGCCTACACCAAAGAAATTACTGTCGAGGTCGCCGGAAAAAATTCACGCCTCGTTGTTTACGTTTACCACAACAGATGGTAGATCTGCTCTAGTAGGTAGCCAATTATTGTCTCACCGTGATGTCACAGCGCCATGACACGTCACGGAGAAGCCGCCTCCTGATATTGAAAAATAAAGTGAATTTTTGAAGTAGTGGCGTTAAAGATATATGGGATGAAATTGTAAGTACCCCAGTGCACTTTTAGTAGTTCTCGAAACCCGTGTTCATAGCTGGAGCAACAATCCTAAAACATTTTAAATTCGTGCCAGTGCTCCTTTATTTTTTTAGAAAGAGTACTCGTGACTATTTTACAGAACTGCTGGAATCTTAAGGCACCTTTCATATTTGCATAGGAACTGTACTTGAAAGTGGGAGTGGCTTGCCGCACGTAATGTTCCCTTGATTTGACTAAATTACGAACCATGTTAACTTTTAACGTGATTGCGTGAAAGAGATTGTTTTGTAATAATTTTGTTATCAGCGTCAATGGTTGACAGTTATGAAGGGGTATTTTCCATGAGAGAAAATTTGACATAGATGAAATACATCAAATATAATATTATCTTAAATGTGAGCGACAATCAAGCCAAGGCCTAAAGTGTGGCTAGCAGGTGTTAGAGAACGGAGCCGTGATAGTGCTTGAAACTATTTCATAAACAATAGGTCTAAGAATATCATGTAGTAAGGCAAGTCTCCTTAATGCATATTATATTCCGTGGAACAATGTGAATCGCTCATTGAGCGAGTGGTTTAAAATAAGGCGCCCATATATTACAAAGCGTGCAGCTGCGCAAATGCACTGGCGCCTTACGGACGCTCTGCTCTTGAAGGTGAACCTTACGTGTCCTCCTTTTTTGATTATCAGTTGGAGGCAAGTTGTTCTTAAAAAATTCTAATTAAAAAAATTGATAATCAATCTTCAATGGCGGCATGAAAACCGAGCACGCCAGGCAAGGAAGCAAGCTATCTCTGTTACGCAAAGCGAAAGTTTCCACAAAGAGGAAGATACGTAATTTATTCGGGAGACACTTGATGCCAAGATTTTGGCAGAAAAAATGGGAAGTTGTTTGATATGTGCAAGTTGGCCGCCTGTATATATTTTTTGCACGTGATGTGACCTGCTCATCTCCTCATTTCTTAAGCTATAAATAGGTGCAAGGCACCATTCTACTTAATTGTCACCCTGTCAAGAAAGAGTACCGTGACGGCGGCCTCTGAGGTTTAGCTGTAGTAAAATCAAATTGTAGAAATTGTGGTTTTCTTGCGCAAATTGTGAAAGAAACAAATAGAGAGGCGCGAAACCTCACACGCAGAGGTTAGGCGATGCGCTAGAGAAAGAGATGACATGCTGCTTTCCGCGATAAGGTGATGCGACGATGAGACTTCTTTCACTGCTCGTCGCTTCGTCATGAAAAGTGCCGGTCTGTTGCAACAGACCAGCGGCCATTTCTGCGTGCCCGGTGGTTTCGATTTTAATATTGCCATTGAATTTTGAATATCAGTATAATAAATTAAGTTTATATTGCATGTCAAAAGGCAATGTCGGTTCTCTTCCATACGAAACATAAAAGGCAGAATATCAAGCAATGCAGTAGTGCGAGCTATTGTGGCGAAAGTAATGTGCAATATTTACTATTTCTGACAAAATAGTAAGCCATAATATCTAGTGCTCTAGAATTCTCTCTTATGTCCTGCCTTCTAGATCATAAAAAAGTTTACATCCTTAATAAGCCTTTTCAAAAGAACTTTGGTTGCAGCAAATGCATATCCACCCCACGCACTGTTTTGCGATGACAGTAGGCGCATTAGTATCAAAGGAATAAAAACATCTCATTGTCTAAAAATAAGGCACCCTGTGTATCCATCACACTTACACTTGAGCTTCACGCCCTCAGACCATCCCTCGAACAGATGATTTTTCAGTTTTTATTAGTTTGTACTTTGATAGATAGCCTCGCCTTGGTGGTCTAGTGGCTAAGGTACTAGGCTGCTGACACGAAGGTCGCGGGATCGAATGCCGCAGCGGCGGCTGCATTTTCGATGGAGGCGAAAATTCTGCAGGGCCGTGTGCTCGAATTTTGTTGCACGGTGAATGACCTCTGGTGGTCGAAATTTCCGGAGCCCTCAACTATAGCGTATCTCATAATCATGCGGTGGTTTTGGGGCGTTAAACGCCACATATCAATAAGCACCAATCAAAACTTTGATAGATAGGCGAAAACTCAGTTGGTGGGACAAAATTTTGTCGAAAAACGAAAGAGTACCAACGCGCTGCACTCTCTACTCATTTTTCTCAGTTTTTTATGAGCGTCCTCTTTGCTAACCTTTACGAAAGAGAGCTACATAATGATGTACTTTGAATATGTTCTTGTTTCTCAAAAAAATAGCTGTATAAGTAACAACATGCTGGTACCTTGTACAGGTGATGGGTTGCCCTTTTTCTCTGCATGCAATGAATTGAGGGTCACCTCTAGACGCATAAAACAACACGTTACCCACCAGTTTTCACGAGCAATACACAATTCGGGATAGTATTCACCCTTCCACAATCCAACAAAACAACTTGGAGCACTCAAGTTCTTCCAGTCCACTAAGTTAAGTCAATATATGTACTGCAGTGAATAAAAATAAAATACAATCATAATATGCATCATATCTATCAAATGGACGTGTACATTACAAAAGCACTTCAGGATGAAGATTACTGAAGCTACCCGCGTTTTTTGTCAAACGGTGTCGCCAGCACATTGATGTCTGTGCAACTCCTTATGTTGGCGAATGCGTTAACAGCGACATACTGATTCGCGCATTCAATATCGTTTTCACCAACAGAACTTTACGCACAGGAAAAATGAGACTTATTATTTTTTTTTCACATTACCCGCAATGTTTCTGTTTATGGCTGACCACAATTTGCTCCGGCTGGTGTTCTTTCTCCTGAAGAGCCAGTCTAATACCTTCATACTTTCGGAGGTAAAAAGCGCATGAGGACCACGACGTATGCTTGAAAAAGTGTTCGTCGCAAACGCTAAACAAAGGCATGGCCATTTGCGCATTTGGTATTCAATGTGAAATCTAGTAATATAGGCAATCTTTGTTATTTTTTAGGCTTCTGCTAAATGATAGATTCAAGTGCCAGACCATATAATCATCACAATTTTAAGCAGTATTCAATGCAAAAAAAAAAAAGAACCTTGGGATCAAGCTCTTGCCACTTGGACATGGAGTTGGCCGAGAAGAAAGATCCAGACACAAAACCCGATGCGGGCGGGCCGTCGCAGACAGAGAGGGGGGAGAATAGAAAGGGGGACGCGATAGTTTGATCATGAATTTTTGAGAGCCTGCTTGCTCGAGAACAATTGCGCGTAGTCGAGTCCCGCCCGTGAATAGAGAGGAAGAAAGGGGTGGACAGGGTAATACTTAAGGAGGTAAGCGCAAACGCCTACACAAAATTACATGCAGCGTGGGACCCGGGACCAATTATAGAACAAAAAAATAGAAATAAGGCCACTACGATACGTCCCCCGAAAAGGGCCGAAAATAAACACGTGCCAGTGACCAAGCCATGGGGCCGGGCACAATAACACATTAGAGCGGCCGCGCCATTCCCTGCGGAGAGGAGCGGCAACCATTCGACAGTGCTTCAGAGAGTCGCAGTGCGATGCTATCAGCCGAACGCTTGCAATCATCTCCGGCACACGCAGCCAGACAGTGGTCTGTGCAAAGAGGATGCTGCGGAATGCTCACGAAAGCAGAGGCACTCGCATGTGTGCGCTGCTCGTTGGGGAAGTGGTAGGAGCAAAGCACTCGCTGAGTGCTCTCTGTGTATATTGTGTTACATTAGCGACGTGAACGCTCTGTGAAACAACTGCCCACAGAATTCTTATATTTTATTTCTACTTCGATGGCTCGCATAGGTATAGCACATATTTGGCAACCTGTTAAAATATGATTGTTATCGTATTGTATGCGTGCTCTTAACCAAAGCGGGAATCCTTGACTTTGAATGGTCTTGCTGAGTAACGGGTGAAACATGGCAACAACACTACAAAAATACTATCTCAATAGTGCTCATTTTCGTGCTCACCATCGGCTCAAGTCACCGCACTTGCGTTACGAGTATCTGCAGGTGATGATAAGAGTGTACGTTAATTGACAAAAAAGATATCTTGTATTGTACGGGAACTCCCCGGCAACATTCAC